TGTGAGCTCAGGTTTAGAGGTGACTATTGTGAGGTGAGGGGCAATAGAATTGAGAAATGACGCTGGTGACTCCGAACTTATCGGGTGAAGGCGGAGCCTATCACTTGAAGTTCAACGTCACCACGTCACCGGTCTAAAGACGTGATTAGAGGTGGCTTCAGCCAGGCGCGCGTGTCCCATATACAACTGTGTGTTGTACTGAGTGAAATGACTGAAAAGGAACTAATTATTTTCCAGCTTTTGATTTTGCAGACTCACAATGTTTACTTTAGCAGAGGGCTAGTGATTATTATGAAAATGCTCAGTGGTTTTATTTATTTATTTATTTATTTATTTATTTATTTGGTTAATTATTGTAGCCAAGCAAAAATTAGCTCATTCACACTTTTTCAACTATTGAAAAGATGCTGACCAAGTAAACTTTACCTAAAACAAGAACTTTGCAGAAACCAGACATGAATTTCAGCAGGATCCACATTTCTTTTACGTAAATGCTGACCAGTGACACATCTTTAAACGATTACCAGGTGCATTCATTTCATTTTTCCTTATCTTTACCTGATTTCTCAGACAACAGCTTCAGCAGCAGCCTCCGTCCTTGTGTGCTCTCAGACTTCTGCAGACCGGTGCAGCCAGCCGATCGGAGGCCATCCCCATACCACAACTAGATGGAGAACCCAAAAAATACTCTCCAAAAATCCAGCAGCTCGTCAGTGATATAGCCAGCCTCACCTTATTAGAGGTGTCGGACCTCAACGAGCTCCTCAAGGTTAGGGAATAATGCTTGCATCTGATAATACTGAACCCTAATCATATTGTAAGGACATTTCTGCTTATTGTCCCGTAATTTTTGTCTCGTTCACAGAAAACTCTGAACATTCAGGATGTTGGAATGATGCCGATGGGGATGATGGCCGGAGCTGGCATGCCTGAAGCTCAGGTACAAGTTATTTGACTGGCTTTTTTAAAATCAAGTCACAGGGACAGAAAAATCGAATCTGCTACAACGTTTCAACTTTAGAAATCTGTCATCTTGGCAAACAGACACCTACAGTGTGCATTACTCTTTCTGTTTCTTTCTTTCAAAACAAGGCAGAAGACGAGGACGCACAGCCGGCTAAAAAGGAGAAGACACATTTCATAGTAAAGCTGACAGAATTCAAGCCGGAAGATAAAGTGAAGCTTATAAAAGAAGTAAAGAGCTCCATGCAGGGCTTGAATCTGGTGCAGGTACGTGTCGCCTTTACAGCTGTTTTGAAGAATCTTGCAGAGCTTTTGTTTCTGTTAGCATCAGATGAGCAGTATTTAGTGCATCTCCTCACTCAGTAAATYTGTCATTTTTAGGTTTAAATGAGCATATGTGAGCCATCACATCAAACCAAGTGTAGAAAAATGAGCAAGAACTGCATGTTGTCAAAATATGAGTAGCAACAACTAACGGTGTTTGAGCAGAAAAGCTTTCTATTATTTCTYCTTTCTGCACACTTGCAAAGCTGTGTTCAATACCAGCTGAGAAATCCAGATGGTTTCAGGTTTCCTKTTTTAAATGATGTCAAGTAATCCTTACTAATGTAATAAAAATAAACAGCATACAGACTGGTTTTCTTGGGATCATCCGGATTAGCCAAAAAAAAGTCATYTCACTTGAATTGCTCAGGATGTCAGGATTTAGGTATCAGACTGTAATTTAAAACAGGATTTCTCAACCTTTTCGCTCCTTACAAGGGTGAAAACTTTCCAGCYACTCCCTCATAAGCCTCWTGCTGATTTAAAATTAATTTACTGCCATTTTAACCCCTAAATGTCATGAGAATAATTACATTCATTTGGTTTAGTATGTTTCTTTGACTGGTGCTTTGTTCCCCATATGCATTTATGTATTTCTTTAAAATAAAAACCAAAATTAACAATTTACTGTAWTCTCAAGCTATACTTTCAGACCCCTGGTTTGAGAACCTCTGGCTTAAAATGCCAGCAATCTGAAAATANGTTCCCATACATGATGTTGTACCTCGTTCCTTTCCTTCAGGGAACAGTAGTTATATGCATAACATTACGTTTGTATGTAATGTATGAAAATAATACACAAGTTTCACTTTTTAAATGGAATTACTGAAATAAATCTACTTTTTCATGATATTCTAATTTTATGACCAGCACCTGTATATGTTTACTTTAGTATGGCTAAATCCAACTCAATCCTTGGTTTGATGTTTCAGGACACATGTTTAAATTTATTGTGTTAGTTGTAAAATTATTCTTGGTATTTTTTGCACGTTACTTCCAGATTGTTATATCTATATATYAAACATCTGTATTGACAGATTTGTYTGAACAAGGMAACAATGTACAGAGATGACRYCTCCAGYTGTGCTGATAGATATCTTTATTGGAGAAAATATATTTGTGAGAAACTTTGTTTTCAGCCTCCTTTTACAAAATTGACTGGGATAACCAGGTTCTTGGTGTTATCACATAAAACAAAGGTGTAGAGATAAGTGCTAAGAGGGGGGGGTAAAATAGGGTTGTAAATGTCTACAYAGTCTTTTGAAGCATGATTTACTTRACATCTGATAGCTTCACTACATCTCGTTTTCTCTGTTTCCTCTTTGATCAGGCAAAGAAACTAGTGGAGACGCTTCCTCAAGAAATCCAGGCTAACTTACCCAAGGAAGAAGCAGAAAAGCTTAAAGCCGCCCTGGAGGCAGCGGGAGGCACTGTGGTGTTGGAGTAAATCTGTATTCTGTTGATCATGCTCTTTGTTCTTCTTATTACTGTTTTCTTTTTGTAAAAACAAAAACACGGAGAGGAAAGGACCCTAAGAAATAAAGGAAACAAAGAAATGCCTTTTATTTTTATTCTTACCATCTTTTAGCGGTGTCAGATTRGGTGGTTCAACTTCAGACTGAACTTTCCAGATGATTGTTTGCCTGTGCGCTCATCTGTCTGATTTCTGCTGCAGATACATCGGCCTTTGAGCCGATGAGGGTTAAACTTWAAAGTTTGAGCTGTAGGATCGAGGTTACAGATGTATTTAGTACAGCTGAGTCCATATATTCCTCATTGTTGATAGAATAAAGGTGAAATGTCCCGATATAATCTTCTCTTACGTAGTGGTGTGTGCTTATTTTAGGTAAAAACATAAAAACATTCAGAGGAATGTTTCAGAAAAATTCAGGTTCATTGTTCTGTTTAGAAACCTGCAGATTAAACCTCAGTGCAGCTGCTTGTCTCTGGAATCATGTTCCAAAACTGTACTTTTGCCCTRAATGTCAGCATGATCTAATGAGGTTGTTTTATTACAACATTTAAAACCAGACTAAWAATGATTTGAAAAATGTCATTTAGAATAATAGAAAGTAAAACAAGAAAATTGTTTCGGCAAGCAGGAATTGGATACATGTTAAAAGGGTGTCTGAAATGTAATTAAACCTTTWTCACTTTAAACAGCTGTTTTCTGACTAAGTATTTTAAAAAATGAATATTACTCATTTTGTTGAACTGTAATGAAACAAAAMCAGCTGATGTCTCACCAGTTATTTTTCTAGAATTTTTAAGTTTCACCCAATTAAAAATCACTTATAAATGTAATTTTTTGATTGATTAAAACTTTTTTTAAGTCAGAGTGCACGTGTTTGTTAAATCACAGACTTATTACGTATAACTCTAAATCTGCATTTTTAATAAATGACCACRAGGTGGCGCATGTTTACATGTTAAGAATGCAATGCATTATATTACTGTGGTGATCGTTTAAAGACAAATATTTACTATTTGATTCTTTGTGATTTTCTTTCATTTTTAACGTTTTAACAAAGTTGTTTTCTAAAGGATTAAAAAGATTAATAATAAGGCCCAAATTCATATTGTATGTTTGCCACTGGTACAACATAATGATCCAATTAGCTTTCATTGGAGGTGGTGAGTTTATTTCTATTTATTTTTATTAAAATAAATGTGAATGTAATGTGTAAACAAAGGGAGTGTGGTCAAAAACAAAGCTGCCAGTTGCAAAATAACATTTTCAGCTAAGCTGGAAAAGTACCCTTGTTCAGCCAGGATAACTTCTTCCTCATGTTAGTAAAATTTCATGCCTCTTCCCACACAGTTTAGGGTCAAACACAGGTGGTGTTAATAAAACGTAACTACTTTATTCAGATTGCTTCCAGTGAAAGAATTCATTTACATCTTAAGTTTGGTTTGACTTTAGCTASAGTGGCAGGCGGAGGCCTCCAGCATTGTTGTCTCACTGCTCCAACAAAATGCTAAATAACTTAAAAAGAAAGGGCAGAAACTTAAAAAAACGTATCGTATCACTCATTCAATTTCCCCCAGAGTGAGAAAACTCAGAGGATTCATTCCTTGTGAGATCTGCAGAAAATTGTTGAAGAAGAAGAAGCGCCGACATCCTGCTGTGATGCTGATGATGGTTTCACACCGATCTGCCTCATCACAAGTCACCTGCAAGAAAAACTAACAACTAATACTACACATAATTATAAAATCTGCGCTTTTTTCACCCTTATCACACATTTGTACTTCCTTTAACCTGCTTAGAATTTAATTATTAAATTTTAGTCATAAAGTTGACTAATTTTCTTCTCAAAGTGAGGATTTATTTCAGACCCCATGCTGACATTCATTTTAGCTAAGAGTCCTAATAAAATGATTGTATTCTGTTGAACAAAGAGCTAAAATCTAACAGAAACTGAATTCTGAAAACTATGAGTGGTTTGCTGATTATCTGAAGTGGAGAAAAGGTTTCCAGTTACTGTTTCTATCATCTGTCAGGAGGCTCCTCGCCTCTCAGGATCTTCCTCAGTAAGCACATTCACTCTCAGGCTGCCCATTCATACTTCGTTGCACCCCTCATTTAAARCATGTCATGCTCAAGAATAGAAAAAAATAACACAGAAACTTATAAAATAACTCTTGACACAACTGCATGTTTTTTTAAATGCATTTTAAGAACCTTATGACCCTTAAAGGATCATTCTAACCATCTGACATGTATTCTTTAAACAGGATGTTGGCATGCTGCATTCACAAAACTATAACAGCAGTCAGGCTATTTTTATATGAGCCACATACTCTCCCTCCCACAAACCAGCTGCACTCCTTTTCTTGGCTCAGAAYCTTTGAGTAAGGAAGGAGACCAGCTCACGTAGCTGAACTCAGCCATGTGACTTTTCAAAACGTCCACCTRTTAATCAAAAATCTGAGTTATGCAACTATGAACCTGCACTGATTTTACCTGTTCTGTATTTATCATGAACATCTCATCTGTTAGTTTCTCCTACAACATGCAGGAAAATCGTGTTTCTCGCTGGTATTTTGGTGGAGTCTCTTCCAGTGCAGCTGCTTGCTTAACACACCCACTGGATCTGATTAAGGTAAGGGAARAATAATGGAAACTGTTATTTTAACACAGCTTTTTCTCCCCCACTGACAAAACTAAATAAATTGATGCTTGTAGGCTTCAATATACGCTGGTGCAGGGCAATATATTTTAATTTATTTTCAAACTTTGCTGAGTAATAGCAGAATTTAGATGCAGGAGGAGGCAGTCTTCAGGGAGAAAACAAGGATTGTGAAAACAGCAAGATGCATGTAAGCTAATATATGAAAAAGTGTGGGGGAAAGGGAGTTTATGTACTAAGAATGGTGATTTAAGAGATGCCAGCAGGTGTGATGACTGCTAACACAATACAGGTGGCAATTAATGGAAGGCCAGTAGGTGTGGTGATTGCTAACAGGTGGTAATTAAATAGGTGCTAGCAGGTATGATGATTGCTAACAGGTGGTAATTAAATAGGTGCTAGCAGGTATGATGATTGCTAACACAATACAGGTGGAAAATGATGAAATATTAGCAGGTGTGAGGGTTGCTAACACAATTCCCGGGGTTAATTAAAGGAARGCCAGCAGCTGTGATGATTGCTAATACAATACAGGTGGTAATTAATAGGATAACTGCAGGTGTGATGATTACTAACATGATACAGGTGCTACATAGAAAATGGAAACAGATAAAGAAGATACTTAGTGGAAATGATGGCGCGCACACACACACACACACACACACAAAACAAGATGACAAAACAGCCATAAAATAAAAAAAGAAACTTATGTAATGTAAACAAAACCAAATCACGTCTTTAACCTATTATTACAAAATGAGCAGACTGTGAGAGCAATATTACTAAACTAAATGCAGTTTACTAAGTATTACAAATGTTTAAAACTGAATTCATAAAACAACTGAAAAGAACCTGAATCAATTTCATGGATTTGTTTAGAAGTTTTCACCAGCTACAATCAGTTGCAGCAATATTTGATAAAAAAAATTGTTGCTTTAAAAAAAATCACTAAGAAACCTCAAAGTGATGTTTACTCTAGTTTTTACCTGTTCTGTTTCATTGGTGGAGTCTGACGTCTGTTTGAAGCAGGGTCGTATGTTCTTGTGGACTCACACCTGTACAGATGTGTAGCAGCAATCAGCYCAGGTGTGACTGACTCTTGGCCCATCATTTCCAGGTGCACTTACAGACGCAGCAGGAGGTGAGGGTGAGGATGATCGGGATGACCGTGAACGTGGTGAGAAGAGAAGGTTATCTGGCTCTCTACAGCGGCCTCAGTGCTTCTCTCTGCCGCCAGGTAAAAAAACACACATTTAGTTTTATATATGTTTCTGACTTACATGTTTTGTCTTATTCCTCCTTTAGATGACATATTCTCTGTCACGGTTTGCCATTTATGAGACAATCAGGGACAGGATGCATAGTAAAAACAAAGGTTTAATGCCTTTCTATCAGAAAGTCCTTCTTGGTGCATTCGGAGGTATGAATCATTTTAACTGTAATCATTTTGCTCAAAGTGATTATTTAAATATGTATTTTCTGCACCAGGGTTTACTGGAGGCTTAATTGGGACACCAGCCGACTTGGTGAATGTCCGGTGAGTTTACAGGAAAAAAAAAACCTCAATCTGTCAATCGTATCCAACAGCAACCAAGACAATCTTTGTGACGATAATTCCTGCTGATAATAACTTGGGTTTTAAAATCTTTCACTCTCCCATCACGCAGAATGCAAAACGATGTCAAACTGCCAGCCGAGCTCAAAAGAAGGTAAGAACATGTCAAACTGGGAGCACATCACAAATCCTTCGTAATTACAGACAATTACACGGCTTTTCAAGRGAAAAGGCCACATTATGGGATGTTCTTTTACCTCACAGCTACGCTCATGTGCTTGATGGGCTGATACGTGTTTGGAAGGAAGGTGAGATAAATTGTTTTTAAAGGTAAAATTGGTTCTTTTGCACAGGAAAAGAATTTTGCTAAAATATATGTTTCTTATATTCAAAAGATGATGTTGCAATGAAAAAGGTATACTTCAACCATAGTGACGTTTTTGGCCAAAACAAACAAAAAAAAATCATTTTCTTTTAAAACTTTACAGGTTTTTAATAATATTTAAGCATGTTTTTGTATGTTCATACAGAAGGAATTTTTAAATTATTCTCTGGAGCTACGATGGCTTCGACTCGAGGAGCTCTGGTCTCTATTGGACAGGTAAAATTCAGTTTCAGCTTTTCAGCTGATTTATTAAACCATCATAACATGTTTTATTTTTTTATTTTTTCGTTCAGTAATGTGTGGATTTTGTTTCTGCAGCTCTCCTGTTATGACCAGTCCAAGCAGCTGGTTCTGGCTACAGGTTATTTTACTGATAACATCTTTACTCACTTTTTGGCCAGTGTGTTTGCTGTAAGGAATTTATCTTTACTGCAAAATGTATAAAATTAGATTGAATTAAATTCTATAAAATAAACCTCTTCTTTGTTTTCGCAGGGTGGGTGTGCTACCATCCTGTGCCAACCACTGGACGTTGTCAAAACACGATTAATGAACTCAAAGTTGGAATACAGGGTGAGTGTTTTCTTTAAATCGTCTCATTATTTGATTTTCTGCTCCAGCTTGTGTTGGTTTTCTGACCCTGGGTTTAGCAATAAGCTCCTAAACATACAATTGGAACACTGCAAAAAGCTGTATTCAGGCTTTTTAAAGTCATCGTGTATTCGTGCAGTCATTTTAGTTTAATCAGAACCGTCAGAATGATTTTTTTAAATTTATTTACTTTTTTCAAGCAGGATTGTCTCAATAATGTGTCGCAAACTTTTATTTCGCAGCATAATGAATACATACCTCAAATAAAACATAAACAGATTATGTCCAATTTATTCTTTCGTCATAATTTGTGTCAGGTTTTATAAAATTTTGCCTCTAGTTGTTGTGACTGATTAATTAGTCTAATTTCTCTATATATTTAAAATTGCCAACACTGGCCGCACTTCAGTCACTTAACAGGCAGGCATATTTATGGACAGTACAATGTTGTTCCCCCCTAAAATACACTCATTTCCCAGCATTTTTTAGCAGACCCTTAAAGAAAATTAAACAGAATATTGTACTTCTTAAAAGAGCAACATTGTATTTAGACAGAAATGTAAAAACTTTTTTTATATACAGCGGGTAAAATAAGTTTGAACACATCACCATTTTTCTCAGTAAATATATTACTAGAGGTGCTAATGACATGAAATTTTCACCAGATGTTGGTAACAACCCAAGTGATCCATACATACAAAGAAATCAAACCATAAATGTCCAGAAATGAAGTTATTTGTAATAATGTGGAATGGCACAGGGAAAAAGTATTGAACARACTTACTGAAATTTATCTAATACTTTGTACAAAAGCCTTTGTTGTCAATGACAGCTTCAAGACGCCTCCTGTATGGAGAAACTAGTGGCATGCATTGCTCAGGTGTGATTTTGGCCCATTCTTCCACAAACAGTCTTCAAATCTTGAAGGTTTCGTGGACCTCTTCTATGAACTCTGATCTTTAGTTCTTTCCATAGATTTTCTGTTGGATTCAGGTCAGGTGATTGGCTGGACCATTCCAGCAGCTTTAGTTTCTTTCTCTGAAACCAACTGAGAGTTTCCTTGGCTTTGTGTTTGGGCTCTTTGTCTTGCTGAAATGTCCAGCCACGTTTCATCTTCATCATCCTGGTAGATGGAAGCAGATTTTTATCAAGAATGTCTCTGTACATTTTTCCACTCATCCTTCCTTCAATTATTTGAAGTTTGCCAGTACCATATGCTGAAAAACAGCCCCACACCATGATGTTCCCACCTCCAAACTTCACTGTTGGTATGGTGTTTTTGGGCTGATGTGCAGTGCCATTTGACCTCCAAACATGATGTGTATTCTGGCATCCAAACAGTTCAATGTTGGTCTCATCTGACCAGACTATATTCTCCCAGTATTACACAGGCTTGTTTAAATGTTGTGCAGCAAACTTTAAAGGAGCTTCAACATGCTGTTTCTTCAGCAGTGGAGTCTTGCATGGTGAGCGTGCATACAGGCCATGGTGGTTCAGTGCATTACTTATTGTTTTCTTTGAAACAATCTTACCTGCTAATTCCAGGTRTTTCTGAAGCTCTCCACAAGTGGTCCTTGGCTCTTGGACAACTCTTCTGATAATTCTTTTCACTCCTCTGTCAGAAATCTTGCGAGGAGCACCTGGTCGTGGTCGGTTTATGGTGAAATAATGTTCTTTCCACTTCTGAATTATGGCTCCAACAGTGCTCACTGGAACCTTCAGAAGTTTAGACATTCTTCTGTAACCGATGCCATCATTATGCTTTGCAACAATAAGGTTGTGAAGGTCTTGAGAGAGCTCTTTACTTTTACCCATCATCAGATGGTTCTTGTGTGATACCTGGCCATCATTTGGGACTGAACCAGCTGATATTAACTTGCACCGACAAGGGGCAGGCTTGCTTTCTAATTACTGAGAGAGTTCAGCTGGTGTCTTGGCTTTCCATGCCTTTTTACACCTCCCTTTCTTCATGTGTTCAATACTTTTTCCCTGTGCCATTCCARATTATTACAAATAACTTCATTTCTGGACATTTATGGTTTGATTTCTTTGTATGTATGGATCACTTGGGTTGTTACCGACATCTGGTGAAAATTTCATGTCATTAGCACCTCTAGTAATATATTTACTGAGAAAAATGTTGACATGTTCAATACTTATTTTACCCGTTGTATATTTCATAGCCTTAAAATGAAATGTTTTGGTTAGATGCTCACATATTAAACTGTTTAGTTTAGTTTTCTGAGGCTCGGTTAAGATTAACTGAATTGGCTTCTCTTGTCTTCTCTCCGACATGAATGTTTTATTTATCCTCTCTGGGTTAAATTATTCAGCTCGTCATGCCTCTCGTGTATTCCTTTTGTGTTTTGGTTCCAGAGTGTGTTTCACTGCCTGACAGAAACAGCAAAGCTCGGCCCGAAGGCGTTCTACAAGGTAAACGCCATGTTCGTAACACAGAGACATGCTGTTTTTTTTTAAATTTCTTCCTTGGGTCACTACGACCCTTTTAATAACTACCCGATACGTGTCCAGGGTCTCGTTCCAGCAGCCATTCGCCTCATCCCTCAAACGGTCTTCACTTACATATTCCTCGAGCAGCTGAAGCAGCACTTTGGTCTGGTGGTCGTCACCTAAGAACGTCAGAGGAAGGCCTCGCAGCTCTGCTGTTGTTGGACAGCTTGTTCTGTTCTCACTCAGAAAACGGATTTAGGGTCTAAAGGAGGCAAATGACGTCCGAGATGAGTCACATTAACTCCATCCAAGACACAAAGTGAAAGTATGTAAGGACTTTCCAAATAAGATGCAGAGGTGTTTATGTTTTCTGAATTAAAGATTCAGATAATTTTAAATATTAACTAAAGTGGCTTTTAACCTGTCATGAGCTGAACAGTTATAAATGTAATCTAAGGAATTTCTAGGTCAAATGTGGGTTAACTGACTAAAAGAGAAAACTCTTTTAGGACCTTCTCTGCCCTCTTGGGGACAGTGTTTCACTCTTACTGTCAGAGAGTTGCACATTTACTTCCATAGAAGTGTTAACTTCTATAGATTAAAAACTTCCAGACAAGAGAACAAGCTTTCAGGACAATAAAAATAATTATTGTTATTATTAAAAAAAACAGTCTTTTGAGTAGAAAGAGTTGGCTTGTATTTTTGAGGCTTCACTTTAATACTTTTCCAAGTATTATTTTCAAGAGTATTCCCTCGTAGCATGATGTTTAATCCATCATCTGGAATATTTTGTGCAGAACTGTGCCTGAATTAGTGTCAGTATTTGAGTCACGGCTCATAATGATTTCAAATTGGATTTAAAATAAAGATATTTTTTTGATATACTGTCATTCTGTTTTCTAAATCTTGAAAATCACTGTGCTTCTCTCTAATATAAGTGTGCATAATAATATGTACTATAAGAATAGCTCTAAATGTTTTGGTTGTAGAAGGACTCTCATATTATTTATAGATAATGGTGATGTAACATAATTGAGTTAAACGTGTAAAAAAGTCATCTGTGGTTATTATGGAGCAGAAAGAACAGCACGAGGACAGACTGCTGYTCAGTAATGACAGATAATGTGTCGTATAAGAGGAGGATATTTATAATACAGATCCAGATTTAGATGTTTCCTCTAATTCACTCGGTTGCCTCAGATATTAGGGATCTAATAATTAACTCCACAGATGCACGCCCACCTCAAACAAATTCATTCCTTTTTTTCAGTTTATTTCATTTACATTTTGGGAGATTAATATATCATATTTTGTTCTACATTGCATCCCTGATGTTATGTTTGAATGACAATAAAGCTGATTCGGATTCTGAGCACAAAGAGAAATGATCTGCATTTTTCATGATCGCAGGGTTTACAAATGTGATTTTTGTCGCTTCAAAATGCAAAACATGCTGGAAGTTTGTGCTGAAAACTGTTTTCGTGTTTAGAAAGAAAATATGAATTTAAAAAAGGCATCCTGAATAAACATTTTCAGACATCATTAGGAATGTTTTAAGTTGGCTTT